TCACTTGTGCGCCACTCTGCACTTTCAAACTGAACAAACACAACACAAATCCCCGGAAGAGGACAGGCAAATTAATAGGCAGACATGAGGAAGGAAATGAATCCCTAATCTTGTTTGGTTCTGTTCCAAATAGCTTTTCACTTGCCATTATCACTTCTCTGAAATCCCAAAGAGGAAGCAATTGGAATGGATAGTTCCTGCCAGCTCATTTCCTGTATTCTCATATTTCCTTGTTCAGACATCACAGTGCAGGCCCACTGCTGCTGACCTGCTCTGCTGGGATTCAGCTCGCTGAGTGACTGATGAAATCCTCACAACTCTCTGCTACACTTCAGCAACACCAGCCTTGTCACAGTAATGAATTAAAAATCCAAAAAATGTGGCAGCTAAAATCTTAGAACATATCAAATATGGCAATAAAATGGCTTTAATGTCATTGTAGAGAAACTACCAGCACTAGTAGAAGGTACAATCTACTGATTTCATTTATTTTTCACAGTTGCACTTTAACAGTTAAAGTCCTTGGACTTCCAAAGGTATTATGGACAGGTGTGTTGGATCATTACCTGACTGTGAAAGAACCAAAAAAGTCCTTGTAATCCCGTTATTAGTGACGTTTCGGTCCTCTGGCCATTAGTGGAAAGAACCAAACAGTTGTTAATAAATTTTAGTACGAGTAGTCGACAAAGTAGAATGTTTTTTTATTTCATTCAGTGTACACTCACAGAACCTTCCTGAACCTTGCTAGCGCTTTTGCTCTGTTTGGAACATCAGTAGGGAATTTTCTTTTTAAACTTCATTTGTCCATTAATTGGATCGTTGCAGCAAAAACTTCGATTTAACTGAGCCCTTGAAGTAACGGCGCAGTGCAGCACATCTGGTTTAAGCTTCCAGCTGTTGCCGAATACAAAAGTGTTGAGTGATTAGCATGTTTTTTTACTTCTGTAAGTGTTTAGGATGAAAGATTTTTTTATGTGGTTAAAAGGCCTTTTCTCTTAGAACTCTTAACATGATCCATTTCCAAAATATGCAACTTATGAGGATCTGAAAGGCAAAATTTCTGCTTTGTTTACACTAATGCAGTGAAAAGATGAGTGAATGAATGAATACCTCACTTCAGTGGTGTTGTCTCTGTTTTATATTAGAGTTGTTCTAAAAGTATTTGAAACGATGACAATGTTGCTGTTTGGAAATCTTTTGTTCTTTCTTGTTCTTAAGAAAGGTTCTAAGAAAATCTGTCTGATTCATGAGCGCATTCTTAAACCACAGAATTGTTCGCACCTGCGTTTTTATATTGATGAATCCCATGTGCACACGTCGCACACAGAAATGGGAAAGAGAAGTTGAGAAATCCAGAAATGTTGCAATGAAAATCTAAAGTCGGTGGAGCAACGAACTCCAAACCAAAGAGAAACTTGAAGTGGAGAACAATGAATGAGCTGTCATATTTAGTAGCATCAGTAGTGGATATGAAATAAAACAAAGATGCATGGGATGCTTTACTCATTCATTGTTTAAGAAGAAGGATGTATATTTGTTTTAAAAGACCACAATGCCTTGTAAAATAATGGGGAAAAATATTAAGAAACATTAATAATTACAAAGCTGTTGTAATTTAAATCTTATTATATTCAATAACTGTATAATAATCTGTTACTTCACACACACGCCTGCTTGAATGTGCGTAAGTGTGCGTAGATACTGTTCTTTGCTAACAACAAATCCCAGATAAGAAAATACTGAATGCCAGATTCTTTGTGAAAACTTTGTGTGTTTTACGAACAAATTTGTTCTTAAGAACGGATGGTGAATGAGACCCAGTGTTTCCATTTTTTGTGCAGGAGGGAAAGGAGAGGGGCTCCGGAGGTATTGAGTTCCCTGTATCCATCATTTTGGATGAGTTGGGACTTTGGAGTAGCGCCAGCCGTGTCTGCGTTAGCCAGCCATAACTGACACTGAGTGTGTTGTTTGCAGTGGGAAGCTCACCACTGTGGCCTAAAGGTACATTCCTGAGATCAGAATGCTGTTTGAAACACAAACAGCCTTTGTGCCCTTACTGCTCTCTTTCCTTGACTCCTTCATCCACATCAAGCCTCAAGAGCTAAACTGCCTCCTCCTGTTCATGTGTCAACATGTGGGCTATCATTTTACACTCACACTCACACTCACACACACACACACACACACACACACACTCATGTCATTTTGATGATGAGGTCCAGGCAGATAACTTACGATGACTAGCTCAGCTTTTGGAAAGAAGCTGTGAAGTCAAAACAAGTCTTCAGTTTTTTACTGACCTTTTTGATGGTGGGATAAAAGGTTTAAAATATAGAAATGCTCTTAAAAGTCTGACTTTCCTCTACAGCAACCTGGCCTGTGGTTTTTCATGTATTTCATATTTGTGTTTTGGGCTGTTGGTCAGACAACACAAGACATTTGAATATGTCAGCTTGATTCTTGGTAAACTATGATGGTCACTTGGCACAATTCTATGGAATGCTGTAGCCCAAACAATAAAATGTTTAATAAAGAAGATGATTAGCAGATTAATCAAAAATAATTGCAGCCTTTAAGAATGTGTATTTGTCACATTGTGGTTCGATCCCCAGCTTCTCCTGTCCACATGTCAAAGTCTCCTTGAGCGAGACACTGAACTCCCGGTGTTACCTGTGTGTGAATGGGAAGTAGTGTAGGGCACTTTGAGTGCATGTCAATGTGTAGAGAAGTGCTATATAAGTATAAGACCATTTACCAAACCTGTGTAAGACAAATTGATGGAGCTGTTGAATGTTTCTGACCCCAGACTGCTTTCAGTGTTGAAACAGAAAAACCTCCTGAATTTTCTGGATTTTCCAGTTAGCAGTCAGATTATTTTTTAGTAAAATGAAAACTACTAAAAACATGAGTAGATGCTGAGGTGGAGCTTTTTACCTTAATTATAGTGTAGAATATAAATGATACTAAAGTTGTTTTAACATTGTAAAATGCAAAGGACACGGATCCTCTGGGTCCATTGTGTTGTTCAGTGACAGTTTAAACCTACGTGTCATGATGTCACATAATATTGCAAGTTCAACAGTAATATTTTAACTCTCTACAAAACATCAACTGTAAAATTTGGTGTCCAGAACTAATAAACAGCTGCTGTGTGAAATGCATCACTGAGGAAGCAGAAGGTGTCCACCTGTGTTACATTTTGTCCAGTGCAGTATCTTGACACCTGTTTCACACTGATAGACTGTTGAAAGGTACCTATGCAGATGACGAACATCACTAACTACAGTAGTGGGTAGGTTAATATCACATCATGTTTCAGGTAAAACCCTGCGAATAAAAGTATTTCTTGTTCACCAGCATAAGGTTTGGCAGAGTATAATGTAGTGCAGTAATATGAGGGACATTAATCTTAATAAGTAATTACTGAGTGCCCTGTTGTACCGCAATTAATTTGTACTCAGTTGCTCTGCTGAAAAAGAGTGAATAGGGTGTGTATGACTGAATTACTTGCTGCTGGATGCCTCGCCTTCAAACGGCTTTGCAAAGTTGTCAGTCTATGATATGCTAACTTAACCTGGCAGAGTTTGCACTATGCCTCATTTTTGTTTATTTTCTTGAAGTTCCACACAGAACTTTCTGATGACTCTACCCTCTTCATGTTTCTGCTGTTTGTATTTGGCGCTAGAGCAAAATGATGTACTAACCCCATTATCGCGTTATTTCAAGGCGGCGGTAAAAGCAAGGGAAAACTGTGGCCCTTTGTTTTTAAAGACAAAACCATAGTCACATGAAATACAGTTATTTTTATTTAATGACTACTCAAATGTTCAGAAGTCATTGCCCATCCCTAGTACAGACGTGCAGTCACAGCATCATTATCAGTTATCTACAGGATGATCAATGTTCTGTTTACCAAGGTGTTGTGGTCGCCTTGTGGGTGAAACTCATACACTGGTTGTGACACCCAGAATTTGTTAGTGAAAATAATTTCACTAGACTTTCTGGAGTATAACAAAAGATCTATATGGCTTTTATTATTGTCAGTGTAAGGCAGAAGAAGTCTGTAAGTAATATTATACATTTAAAATTACGAGCCAACACTGGTGGTTAAATTAACAAATATATTCAATATTTTCATAAACTTGTTTTCCCTCACAACGTTATTATCAAACTATTTAGGTTATACATTAGGAAAATATTAGATTTAAGAGCATGCAACATGGTTAAAATCACTTCCCCATATTCTCAGAGGGGCTTTCTCCACCTCATTTACTCTCCAACACATTCATCCCTCCTCACCTTGTACTTCTCAAGACCATCTTCCTCCCACGCTATGACCTACTCCCGCCCATCACTACGTAAAACCCACAACAAGTGGCCAACCAATGAGAGGCACCTCGCTAATATGTGGAGAGGGGGCTGAGGAGCAGAAAGACAAATGCTCAGAGGGGGGAGAGTAGAGGATTGCTGTGCGACCCACAAGGCTTGTTGTTTTCTCCCATTCTCTGTTTGCGTCCACTCCCGTGCGCACCAGGACCGATAAAGTCCAGCGAAGTCCAAAGAAGGACTTAAGGAATTCTGGAATTCCGCTTTTTTTGTGGAGCTTGGTCATGAGAGAGTACGTAACCTGGGATCTCTGAGCTGGAGGCAGTTCGTTGCAGCACTCAGATCACCGCGATGGAATGCGCTGCCCTATAGACTCTCCGAAACTTGTGGAGAACTTTTCTTTTGAGTTGCTATTTTAGTTTGCACCCCAGTCATGTATGGATAAACGGGAGGTTCGCTCAAGAATCCGGCTCAACTACACCAGCGCTCACGGGTTTATGGAGCCGGGATTTACACAGTTTAGTGCCTGTTGAACGCGCACACAAGGGCCAATCACGCACTCGTCTGCCTCGGAATAAATTACAATCTCCAGTGAAGACACTATCCATGGAAGCAGTGTAGAAGTTTTCCATATGACATTGCTGTGAATTGTGTCCCTCCTTGTAGCCAGAACGATGGCAACCTCTGGCGTCAGTAGATCCGTTTGGCCTCTTGGTTGTGTGCTTTTGTTTTTTGGCTACTTATCCGTGGCATCGCCGTCCCACGGTCG